ATCTGGATCCACCATGCGCTGCTTGAACCTGTTTGTGTTTATATTCTTCAAATACGTCGTGGGAACTGATCTACGAATTCATATGTTTCAGGAGAGCTATAGCCTATCAGGCCCGCTTCTTGACTTCCCTGCAGAATAGATTGGAGTCAGTTACTTACCAAATGTAATTCAGTGGAAAAGCAGAGTGTTGTTTTTGTTGTGGCAGCAGTGTGATAACATAAGGCGACATGTGGAGAGCTACGTGCCAATCGGCAAATTCGCAGTGCTAGCGTGCCCGGATTTTTAATTATATTTACCCTCGCTCTCTACCAGGGCGGTTAGCATATAATTAATATTCAAAGTATCACTGCCCCCAAGAGCCCTGTATTAACATTATGTACTGTTCCAACTGGTATTTACGACCAAAGCGCGTCTGAAATTAGAGACTTTTGACTGACCGGTGCTGAACACTCGTCACGCCCAGTGAGATTTTTTCTTGCTCATTATCTTTGCAAGAATGGTTGATAAAAAGAAAATGTTGTTGCCAGAGTAGCATAATAAAGATCAACCCTGTTTTGCTGCAGCAACAAAGATGAGGTGACAAGTTTATGTCATTGAAAGCCCGTTCCTGACATGAGGAATTGGAACAAAGAATTTAACTAATTGCCAGGGAATTAGACATTCCTACACAGGCCAGATCACCTCGTTGCTTGGCAAATATGTAAACTCTTTGTTCCTGTTCCCGCGTGTCAGAACGAGCTTTCAATGACATTAAATCGTTGCCTCATCATTTTTGCTGTGGCAAAACAGTGTTAACCTTTATCTTCCTACCCCAGAAACAACATTTTATTTTTATCACTCATTTTTGCAAAAATTATAAGCAAGAAAATTTTAACCTTATTTAACTGCTCATTTTTGCTGCAAATGTGGAATAAACAATTTAACATAGTTATTTACTGTTTAGTGCCTCTTTACCTGGCGACGAAAGCTCTTTGCCCCTTGTGAGTACAGAATGTCCCCGTCAAATAATTTCTGCTTCTGGGTCACAATGATGAATCGACAAACGGTGTAAAGGTAACATATCCCCAGAAAGCCTAATACCACCGCGCCCACAAAATTTAACAATTGAGAAACGCAATTGATAGAACGAAAGGAAATCAGAAAGCAGCGGAAGAATATTTTACAATCAACTTCCGCGCACCCTCATTCGGAATTTCGTAAGAGCGTAGTCCGCAATGATTTTCCCCTGGGGTGGCATACACTGGATCAATGCTCAAGGGTTTCAGCGTCTCTTACAATTTTTACGGGCTTCCCCGCGGTTTCTGTTACCAATTAGATCCGAGTTACGGATAGGTTAGTCATAATCTTGAAAGTGCGTTTCCTCGCTTGAGGGACTCACACATTGGCGCATGCTTGTAGCCCCTTTTTCTAGGCGATCAATTTCAAATGTGAACGTGCTTATGGCTTGAGCATGGTGACTTGAACGCGCGAGGCCGGGGATTTCTCGGTCAGAGGAGGCTGTAGAGCGTGTCATGGGTGCACTCCGTAAATTACGAGACTTGTTTGGTTTTTGTATGTGGTTCCCTACTTTATTCATTAGCGAGGATCTTCTGCCTACTGATTGATTTTCTCACCGTAACGTCGATCAACCGGAATGTATATTATATTCAAGTTGTTATGATTGTGTTATGACAACACCAAGCGATCTCACTGGTCGACGGTTGTGTCTCAATAAGACATGAGAAATTGGTCTGAATACCCTAGCCAACGGGCTTGTCTAGAGATAGAAAAAGCGAGTTCGACCTTATCTGTCCAACTGCGTGCACAATTCAAAACTCGCTTACCTCGACCAGCTTCCCCATTGCATGTGGCGTCAACGAATTTCCCCCACAATCAGGAACTATGACCTCGCATCGCTACGATGACGAGGTGGTAAATACAATGCTACGACGAAAGCCGCATGATAGCTGGTCGAAGTGAGAGATGGAGGCGGTGAGTAAGGAGAAGAGAGGAAGCGGGGGCTGAAGTCTGGGAGAGATCGGCGAAGATCAGTGATTGCAGCTTCCGACCTCCTGAATCATCCCCCGACGCCCATCCCCTTGACCACAGGTCCAAACTACGTGGATACGATAAGACGCCCCGAACGATGGGAAGCAAAGAATGAGCAGCGACTCGGATGTCATGAGTTATGTTGAAGAGTGGTGTCGATTGAGGATGTGCTGAAACATTGGTAAGCAATCGTCAAACTATAGACAGGGAAAGTGCAAGTTACCTCAGGATCCAATCTGTCACTGCATAGATCGGTCCTACCGCAAACAACGTCTGCTGGCTAACGACCTCAATAACGACCACGCGGAGACGTAACGGATGTGGACGAGGACGATGCGGTTATAACTAGTCGGCCCAAGACCGACTTCCAGTAGACAATCTTGCGCGCCTCCTCAAAGTCGCAGTCTAGAGATCTCATTTTGCTTGATGAGGCCCTACGGCATCGAGGGAACGTTCGTTAATCTTGTCACAGAAGCATTTATTCAGGATGACTTACCACGCGGGCTCCGTTCCATAGTTTTGTGAGAGCAACGGCGAAAAACACAAGCGTTGATGGGTGCGAGAACACGTTGTGGAGGATTAGAATAAGCGGGTGACGATCAGGAAGGACGAGATGTGAAACGCGGGTTGAGGGTGGATATGACCATCAAGGAGTTCAAGGCAGATCAACTGATAGAGTTTGGAATGGTGACGCAACCCTGGAGAATGGCAAGAAAGAAATGGATAAAGAAAGGACAATGAGGACGATGTGGAGTTGATGTGGAGAAAAAGAGCGGAACTCTGCTCACGGTTTGAAACAAAACCTCCATGGCGCGCACGAACTAGGTCCAAAATTAGCGTCAAATATCTACATTGAAAAGGAAAGAGAAAGAATTTACCGCCAATACGGTGCCACGCACTGCCACCGGAGATATCTTACTTTATATCTAATCTAATCTATACATCTTTGGCTTCGTCCAACAACGTACACCCCACGTTAACGTTATCGCATAGGTCTCCCCGCCACCTCGCCATCGTCGCCAGTCGCCGCAAATCGGAACACCTGGGCGCGGGTAAGAAGAATCTGAAAGGCAAGGTAGTGCATCTAACCTTTCAGTAAATTTCAGTCTTCATGCCAACTTCATGCCCTTTCGTTGCGATGCTGGGTCTATTGGATAAGAGGTAAAAATCGACACGTTCAGTTGGCGTCCTGGTCTCGGCAAGTTCTTGGCGTGTTCAATTGTGCAGATGCGAATGCAACGTGAATGAAGGAGTAAGTTGAATTCACACACCCGGCGAAGGCTGAAGCTGCGTTTGACAATATCTTTTCAAAGTTCAGGTGACTGTCCATGCTCGAAATTCTGATTGCCACTGCTCTCTACACGTCTCCACGCATTTCGGACACGCTTTTGCCCAACTTGTGCTTCAAGTATATACATTCCCGACCGACAGTGGACTCGAGACAAAAATCTTATTCGCATTAAATCAGCAGATGGTAACCAATCCACGGTCCCCTTTGTTTGTATCAAAATTTTTAGCCTGCGATGACGATGGCAAAATGAATTCCTGTTTGCCTCCTGCTATCTGGTAATATGACCATTTGGATTATGGAATCGTACGCATACGTTTATGTCGAACACACTAGTACCGCACCTGCCGTTCGTCATTGGGAGTGAAATTTTTAACGCAGAAGCTTACAGTTGCGTCCAGCTTGTCGGTATTATCATCACTTGGTTTTTGTCGGGGTCATTATTGGTGCAATGTTGTGTGTTTACTTCACTCTATTTCTTAACCGTACCACTCATCCTCATCTCTTGCGGATTTTCAGACGATTTCTTCTGCGCCGATCATTTGAATGGGGACTTGAAATTCATCAAAGTAGCGGTGCGCATCATCGCGATTTTTGTTGTCTCGCCTTCATGTACCAAATATTAGTTTGGATATGCCTCGCCGTTGATCAGCCTGGTGCGGTCGATGGCTGTGACTGCGGGTGCTTGGCAAAGCTTAATAGTTGCATGGGGAAACCCAACAATTTTCACTGGCCCTTCCGTGTTTCCCGTCCTTACCGTACCACTCACTGGGATAGGCGAGTCTTCCACTCAACCGATGCTTCAACGTACTGACTTCGCCATTAATAGAAGCTTGCATTGTTCAGTTTTTTTTTGCCTGGTGAGTCCTCATAAAACCTCGTTTTCGCGCATAACCTCCAACATCCTTATAGGCGAATATGGACCCTGAAAAGAGGGTTCAAAATCTATCGAATTATTTCAAGCGTAATGTGTTTGGTTAACGGCCTTCCCTGGTTTGTTTTACATGCATTGAACTTTTTCTAGGTGGCGTTTATGCAATTAGCGGCTGCGATTGTCAGTGCCCGTGGAGCAGCTGTACGTGGTTCATAACTTTACGGCAAACGCTTCATAGATTTGATAATAGTACGCTCAATCTGAAAGGTTATTAAGCCGATGGCAGCATACTTTAGACCTTTCAGCTGAGATACGTTCTCTTTTGCCATATCTGCGAGATGCTTAAAGTGCTCAACCTTTCCATCAAAATCTTTGGTTATGGGGGACCTTGATC